TTTATTTATTTATTTATTTATTTTTTTTTTTTTGGGGGAAGGGTAAGCACGGCGGCTCTACACAAAGATAGTACTAGTGACAATTCTAAAAAAAGAACCAAACATTTTCTTGTGCAGTAATAAGTATTCAATTATGCTACACTTACAATTTTATTGACATTTTTCTTGACACAGTACAATGTGACATATAATCTGATCATTTATTTGAATAACAATTATTCAAATCAACGATCAAAATTTTTATACAACAATGTACAATTTGAATGTAAAAATAACATTATCCACAATCATGCTATACTTATAGCTTTATTGATATTTTTGTTGACACTGTGTGATGTGACTAACAATCCGACTTATCTTGTTTAATTATAAAACAATTAACTGTCGATCAACTTGGTTCGATTCATTTCTGATTTCTCAAATCTAGATATAATCAACTTTAACTAGCCCTAATATGGTCTACCTCGACTCAACTTTTTACTTTATTCTTATAAATCAAATTATTTACAAGAAAAAACCAATTATATTGGCGTCCAGTTGTTTCGATATAAATATCAATAATTAAACAAACGTGTCAACATCAGTCGCATGGGTTATATTCCGAAATCACCATGGTCTTCCTCCTTGACCAATCACGTCATTGGCTGAACCTTCCAACCTGGCAACCCCTCTTGACCAATCTAATATCTCCACGTGGAAGTTGGAACCTTATAGATAGGTACCTACGCTCGCTATTTCCCCGTGTATAAATACTGCACTTGAATTTCACTTTGATTTCAAATCATATCAGAAAACAAAAACAAAATGGCCTTAAATTACTATTCTGCCACTGGCGCTATATTTTTGCTCTTCATCTTCTTCCTCTCGACTTCAATGGCTGCTTTAGTTAAAGAACAGCCCCTTGTGTTGAAATACCACAGAGGGCCTCTTCTTAAGGGCACCATCACCGTTAATCTTATCTGGTATGGAAAGTTCACACCCGTCCAACGCTCCATAATAGTTGATTATCTGCAATCCATCAACTCTTTAAAGGCTCCACTGCCTTCTGTTTCAACATGGTGGAAAACTACTGAGAAATACAAGAGTGGTACGCTTGGTTCATCAAAGCTCGTCGTAGGGAAACAAATCCTGGACGAAAATTATTCCTTAGGGAAGTCTCTCAAGAATTCCCATATAATTTTCTTGGCGGCTAAGGGCGGGCATTTAAGCGGGTCGGTTAATGTTGTTTTGACGGCGAAGGAGGTTTCCGTTGTTGGGTTTTGCATGAATCGGTGCGGTGGACATGGATCGACCCGTGGACCGACTCGGTTCGCATATGCATGGGTTGGGAATTCGGAGACACAGTGCCCGGGTTACTGTGCATGGCCGTTTCACCAACCAGTTTATGGGCCTCAAACGCCGTCGCTGGTAGCGCCGAACGGCGACGTAGGAGTCGACGGTATGGTGATTAATTTGGCTACTGTTTTGGCGGGTACAGTGACGAACCCGTTTAATAACGGGTATTTCCAGGGCCCGCCAACGGCGCCATTAGAGGCAGTGACGGCTTGCACAGGCGTTTTCGGGTCAGGCGCGTACCCGGGTTACGCCGGCAATGTTTTGACCGATAAGACCACTGGAGCTAGCTACAATGCGCATGGGGTGAATGGCCGGAAGTACTTGCTCCCGGCGATGTGGGATCCACAAACATCTAAATGTTCAACACTTGTTTGATATATGCGAGGAAAGGTTCAGTGTGTGCACATGTACGGTTGTAAATATGCAGATGCAAATGGGGTTTTCACCTTTATGGAAGGTTTGTATTTGGAAATTTGGTTGGGGGTGGGGGTCAATTTGTATTAAGTTTAAACTTTAAATTCTCTTTTCACATGAAAAATCTTGGAAAACAAAAAAATGTAATACTTAATTTAATAATGGAAAAGTAGTAAGAGTGTGTTTGAGCTGATTTTTGGGGAAAATCTCAATTTTTTATTCAAAATTGTGGGACCTGATCAGTAATTTAATAGGTTTTTGTCCGATATAAGAATGATATTTGACTTTTCTCCCCAATATTTTCAGACAATTTTTTCATCCCAACAGTAATGCTATCTAGCCCCCTTCCTGTTGAATATCAATCTGTGTGTCAACATGTTACGTGTCTTACTAAATGGATCATAGTTCATTGTATTTAAATAAATTTGTAATTTAATGACTATAGTACTATCACCTAAACTGATGTTAGCCACAAATTTTCCATGGAAATTTTTTGCACTTTTGGCTTGTTTGATAGCCAAAATTTTTTAGGCAAATGGTTTTCTTGGCTTGCCCGTCACGCGCCCGTTTTCTTGGTTTTTGATGGGAATTCCTTTTCTTGGCTGCATATTTTTTTTTTTTTTTGACAATGGGAACAAATATTAGGAACAATTATAAAAGATAATATTTCTTAAATTGACAATTTTCATGTAAAATAAAGTGAAATGAACATCAAAATACAGATGATTTTCGGATCTCTCTCTCTCTCTCTCTCTTTTTTGGACAATGGAAATAAATTCTAGGATCAATTGTAGAAGTGAATATCACTTAAAATGACAATTTTCATGAAAAAAAGGCCGGACAAGCATCAAAATACATTTTTATTTTAACATTTTTCACGTGGAAAATTATATCAATCAAACACCATAATTGACGATTCCTAGTAAAACAATTTATAGGCAATTTAAATTCCATCTTTGCAATCAAACGAATCCTAAGAGAATGTTTAGTAGGGATTAAAATTAGATTTTTTTAGTAGATTATGATAGAAATTTTTGAAATTAGTAGTTGAAAAGTTATTGGACCCATAAAATATATGATTAATATTGATTGTTTGACTTTAATTTAGATTAAAATTAATTTTTACTCTCGCAAACAAGCTCCAAATGGTATTAGTAATTCCCCAAATGACCCTGTCATACACTTTTCAACTGTGGACAAACTTTCTTCCCAGGACAAGAACACTTGATGAGCAAAAGTCACTATAATGACTAATGAGTACCAAGGTTGTTAATACAAAAGAAAAAAGAAAGAAAATGTTACATAAGTTTATATACAAAAGGAATACATAAGCAAAATAGAATGTCGCACCTCCCATTATTTATATCTTTAAATTATATTCCAACATAACTACAGATCATTGGCAAGACTAGCTTCCGTTTCTTGTAGAAGAGTTTCATAAGAAAGTTTCATTAAACCAACTTCTTTTTAAAACATTTCTAGTCAGACAAAAAAAATTTTAGAAAATTATTCAAATATGTTCAAAATTAACTTTTGATCTTTTAAAAATTTTGTCAAGCAGACTCTATATATGTACTTGAGACATGTAACTGCATGATTGTTATGCAACAAATGGACTCCTTTTGTGAGTAAATTTTACTATTTATTTTAAACACCCTCAAGTTTGTCTCTTTGTTGTGCGTTGTAATGCAAATCAATCAAATAAATCACATTCAAAACCAGCCAATAATTCGTTGATATGGTCAAGTATTTGGATAGGTTTGAAATTATTGGTCTTGTCCATCTTCCATCATTGGTTTGAACTGTTAATTATTTTATATACATATAAAAAAGGCCAACTTTCATATTCTCGATTGAATATTTCTTCTCATCCACTTGCTTAATTTAAAAATCACTCGCCTGTTACGTAGTAAATATGAGAATTGATTTTTTAAAGTTAGAAAGAAAAACTGGATCCCATCTGTGAGCGAAAAAGTTAAAAGTAACGATTGAAATAGTGAAATAATGATAAAAAAAAAATTGATTTTTTGAGATAAAAAATTACTACCATAAGAGGTCGTAAATAAATCATGCATAGAAACGAGAAAACAAATCAAGTGAACTTTATTCTTAATAAATTTAGATAAAGTAGTTGAATTTATTTAGCCACTTGATGGATCATTGGCACATTTACTAAATGATTTAGTATAAGTTAATTTTTTATAACCATAATTGGTCATATTATTTTTAATTTATCCTCTCTTTTAACATTTTCTATGAAACATATTACACTTAGAACCTCTAGGTTTATATAAACTGTATCGCAATCACTTAAATATCATTTTTTTAATTTATTCTCATCTTTATTTTTATTTTGGGAAAATTGTAACAGCAGTTCCTAACCTTTTAATTTTTAGCAGACTTTACACTGACTTTTATTTTGTGCCAGCTAAGGTCCCTAATTTTTCATAAATATGCACATGAGATTCATTTGGATGAAAATCCTTCAAAACACTGTCAGTTGATTGGAAAAGTTCCTTGAACTATCTGCTACTGCGACGATTTTATTGGATGTTAATATCTTTTTGGAGGGTTTTTCGATAGTGTTTTAGACGACTTTATTGGATGTTGATTCCTTAATTTTTCAAGTCAATTGACGATGTTTTGAACAGTTTTCATTCAGATGGACTTTAAGTGCATATTTATGAAATGTTAGAAACTTTTGCTGGCACAAAATGAAGTTTAGGGTAAAATCTGCAAAAAATAAAAATATTAAAAACCGCTGCTGCAATTTTCCCTTCTATTTTTTAGGGTTATTCTCTTTCTATTGCAAGACACACATTAACCTTAACACCCTCGTTTATGTTACACTTTTACGACATTTTGCCCTTTAAGAGAAATGTCCATCTAATTGTCATATACCTCTATGTTCAACACTCTAGTGATATGTTTTGAAACATAGTATCAAACAAAATTAGACAATATTAAGCCCTTGTTTGAGCCTCATTTTGGAGAAAATAATGAATTTTTGAACAGTGTATTGATATGAAAAATGTCTGATTAAAAATAAAGAAAAGTTTTGAATTTGTGATTGAAGTAATATTAAAATACTGTTGAAAAAATCATTTTTTCAAAGAATGAGGTTCAAACAAGGGTTAAATAAAAAATATAATTCAAGATATCGATCATTGTACTGTCAAATCATATTCATTATCCGTACGTTCGAATTGAAGCAGTCATGCACTTGAAGTGCAAGTTGTAGGAAACCCTTTGCTTGTTAGACTATTGGCTGGCAGGATGTTGATTTGTGCATAAATTGATTACTCCTTTGGCTTTAACCAAGTACTCCGTTGGTATATGTCACTATTTAGTCTTCAAAATCTACAGTTGTATGGCATATCAGCAAATCAAATATTTAATTATTACTGTTGGGAATTAATTATCTATTTAATGACAGCTGTTTAGCTATGAAAACCGTACACCAACTACATAATAATTTAGGGAGTAATGTTATTTGAATTCCTTCACTATCATAATCACACTACCATAATCACCCTACGTGACATAAATGTAACAACTAATTCTTATCAAATTTGTTTGCATAATATTAATATGACCGCAGATTTTAGATCCTTTATCGTTTGATATTATAAAAAGACAACTCTCGTCTCGTCGGATCAACTAGATTGATTAGATTCCAAAATTGAAGTTCTATTTGAACCCCATTTTTCCTAAAATTCGTTTTTCTAAAACTTGTTTTCAATCATGCATTCTATCATAAAAAAATTTCACACATAAATTCAAAATATATTTTTTAAAATTTTTAACCACAAATTCTTCAAAACTCATTATCCCCCCCCCCCCCCAACCCCCAACAACACCCAAAAATAAAGTAGGACTCAAATAGGCACTAATGCAAAATATTTTAGCATATGTGACATTGGAGTCTCAGACACATTGTTCAGAAAAAATTGGATGCAATTTAATACACTAATTTCATAGCCACACAAGTTAATGATCATCTGAACTCTACACAAATATCATTATTTAATATTTTATTCACTTTAAGATTTAAAGACACGTTTTTGGGTGAATTAAAATGTCCATCTCTAGAACTTGTTCTTGTTACAGGAATGAGCCAAATTTGAGGTGATTGGAGTCCAATATAGCTAGCTAACAGCAGTATTAAAGAGACATAATTGACAAAGAAGTAGGGAGCATATATTATAATTGAAAGAAACGAAAAGATGGGGCCTCAAGGATTGAGAATTACGTTTCAGCACCGTGGATACTCTCCCTCTATATCCCTCAAAAAAAAAAAAAAAGGGCAGCTGTCGAGTACATTTTAGCGCACAGTACTAGACTTGACTGTACCAAAAAAAAAAAAAAAAAAAAAAAAAAAAAAAAAAAAAAAAATGAAAAAGAAAAAAACACTCTTTAAAATGGGAGACAAACAAAAGCTAGCTTAGAGAGGCGTGCATGCTCAACACGTTTATCTATATTTGGAGTTATGTTAAATCAATCAAAGTTATCAAAAAGAATTTAATCTTCTTCAACATTATAATTGACACAATAAAGTGAAGCAAAAATCAGAAATGACTTATAGGAGAGATATATTGATGTTGGACCACTTACGAGGTGAACAAGCAGCTCCAATGTTCCAATCAATAAAAAAAACAAGAAGGCCATATTTTCAATGAAAAAATAATTGAGCAAAGAAATGAGAAGATTTGGGAGAAAATGGAAATCCTAAAATAATTGTAAACCAAAAGTACAGCACACTGTTCCTTCCGATGAAATCCATTAAGAGATAAGAAAAATCAAGCATCATAGTCACAAACATAAAGCAATAACAATCCACTAAAAGCTTCAATCCATTAATTATCACTTCTAAATGCTTGCGCTAGTCATACAACAGAGTGACCAAGGAATATTTAAGGGTTGACATGCAAATCTCAATCAAAATCTTGAGGCTTAGAAGTAAGGGTTGTATCTCATGGGCATTCTGAACCTGGGAACCTTCCTGCAAAGCAAAAGTAATTTTTAACGCAATAATGCCGAAGTATGCTTTCAGCCAAAATTTCTCCCCTCCCCACTTAAAAATTCCCAATGATCCCTATCCCTCCCCAAGAGCAGTCATCTGCTTGTGGTCCCCAAGATTTACTTCATGGGTCATTTTACCTTTTTCCTTCAATATTCTGCTGCAGACCCTTCGTTTTTGCTTTTTCCCTGTTAACCAAATTATTTTTCTATGTTCAAAAGTTCTTTTTAACTCAGTGAATTCATGTTCTCTCTCTATATGATTTTTAATTGTTGAAAATTCAATTTGGTGTGTCTGAGCACCAACTTCCGTTGCTTTTCGGAAACTACTTAGTTATTTCAGCTATTTATGTTTGGCTCACGTCTATAAATAGTTTATAAATAGAGTTATTCCACTTGTACATCAAGAAAGGTACATCAAGGTGTCCACCTGATATACATCAAGCATAACCCTTATAAATATTCAAGTCACTTTTTATCCACACATTTAGAGGGGCCCATAAGTACTACCCACTTATTCACAATTCATTTTTATTTATGTATAAACTTAAACCGTTTACAAACACTTCCCAAACAGCTCCAGTTGAGTTTCTACCTTGTTGAGGAAAGAAAAAGTCATGCTTATGCGTTTTATGCAATGGCCATTACTTGAAACGTCGGTAAAGAATGCCTACGGCTGTAGAAGCAGACAAATGACTTTGACATGGTCCCCCCACCCCTCCTAACCTTATAATTCTAGAACCATCGTCATTTCAAACTAAAGAGTAAAAAATCCAGAGGATGATGACTCATACCCATATCCATAAGGAGAATAGAAAATTGGAGCAGGCATGTATGGTGTCCTAGAGCGATAACCCGTGTGAGGGTTGGCACGCCGTGGGCGAAACTGTTTCATGCCAGGAACGTTGGTCCTCTTGGCTGACACCTGGAACAATACTCAAAAGGAATTCAAAATTAGGAGGATAGAATGACCATTAAACTGCCATAATCACAAGTTTCAGATCCTTATTCACATGGTTGGTCCATGCAATGAATGCAAGTAACAAATAAATATATGATGTGGCTTAACCTTCAATTGACGACCATGAAGTTCAGTTTCATTCAGAAGAATAGCCTGTTCAACAGCTTCTGCCTCAAGAAACTCGACATATGCATACCCCTTTGGTTGCCCATACTTGTTGGTCCGAATAGTTACTCTATTAACAGTCCCACATGACTGGAAATGCTGCTGCACTTCCTCTGGGGTACATGAATAGTCCACCTACAAAGCAAGTTTCTTCCGTTCAAA